TCGGGAAAATGTTCCCGAGACAGATCGTCAAAAAGTACCCTCTTTCCCGAGAAAATGGGAACGCGCATGCGGCCCCCTATGGATCCTGAGTGGGGGAGGGGGGGGGCCGGGGTTGAAAAGCTCTAGCCAATCGGCATTTACTCAGCATAGTTTGTTTTGTTTAACAATAGAATCCACCATCAGTGGACTTTATTGTATTACCATAACCAACACTGATTGGACCACGTAGAATTGCATATAAAACATTCGATCACGTGAATTTGGTGCTTATTTGTGAGAACAGTGTAGCACGTTGTTGGGCGAACTCCGGAGATCCGCCAGAATCATGTCCGCTCAAGAATTTTCTGCTCCGGAAATTGACTGGGATTTGGAAAACTGGTTGTCCCAAATTGATGTGGACGACGCCGAGGACTTTAAACTGAGCGATATTCAGAAAGAATTCCGTTTATTGCCTCCAGTTGACAGCAAACAAGTCACCGAATACCAGCAGTCACGCAGACAACCAGACAACTCGCAGCGCTACAAAATGGGGCGTCAAAACATGGAATGAGTGGAAAGAGCAAAACAGATGACTGATATCGCTGGGATAAAAGGTTATCATACTGGGCATTCAGGAAAGGTACGTATTAGAATTTGCACTTTAGTAATGCAATGTTCAATTTCCCCGCTGACGAGAAATAGTCATAACTTTATGTCGAAAATAATCACTACTCGTTAACTCAATTTTTTCATGCAAACTGTTTGGTGGAATACCATTTAAATACTAGTATTATATTCACTGGCACGATATGTCGGATTCATTTCACGCGATAAAGATTTAATGCAAAACTGCTTTGGCGTGTTTTAAAAAAGCTGAACGATTGAACGTACTATAACAATATATTGATATTTTACATTGCTATGAGGTGGACTGTTACAAGCTATTGTACTTTCATATTGATACATTGTATTTTATTTAAATTAAACAGGTTACACAGGCAACCACGCTGTTCCGGCAAAATTTCGACGAGCAGCTAATAGCAGAAAGAACGGGTCACTCCAGTCTAGCAATTAGAAGCTACAAGCGGACGAGCGACGAGCAGACGAAAGCGGTGTCAGACGCATTGCAGCCACCCAAACCGAAAACTGCGAAAGAAGCGAAAACGCATGACATATCCACCACTCCAACAGACGAGGACAAATATAATACCACTGTCATAACCGATTCTTCCCAAGTGTCCGTGAATTTTGTAAAAGAAAATATGAAACTTGAAATACGTTTTTAAAATGTATCGTATAATCGTCATTGCGTATTTAAATAATTAAATGAAAATTCCACCTTGTTCTTTGTTTTCATTCAGTGGCCACCTGTTATGTTAATCAGCTTTTCACTCCTGTTGTGCTCATGAATATTTAAATTAACCCATTCATTATTAACAGTCCCGGCTTGTTAATCTACTGATAAAACAGTACAGTTAACAAGAATGCATAATTTTTTAGGTTGAAACTGTCCGCTAACGAAAGTAAGAAACAGTTAGAACAATGGGGACGAGACAAAAAGTAGTATAACTGTAAATAAACTACGCAAAAGTTGCATATAAATGAATTCTTTATGCCGAAGACATTTAAATTTGCAGTTGTATTTTTGTGTTCTGTTGCGGCAATCGTAGCAGCCCCTCCCCATTTCCCCCAAATAAATCTTGCAGGGCTTCGGCAATCAATCGCACTGACGAACGAGATGGTAATGTCTGGCCATGTTTTGTTAAAGAAAATATAGTCAAGAACACGCCGGTAAAACGAAAAATTAAATAAATTGTCCGTCACAGTAGACGACAGAACATGAATTTCTAGCCTTCAAAGGTAATTGAGAAATTAACCCAATTATATAACCACCTTTTCCGGGCATTTTCCCTGGCCAACCTTGAATTGAGATAATTGTCTTCAAAATGTCACGCCACGCAACGTGATCTTTTTTGTGCATTGGATTGTTGATTATTTTATTTGAGTATGCCATCGGTCAATATAAAAAGCTAGCTGTGATTTGGCTGTAGCTTATACAAAATTTGAATGGGATTCACATGGGCATCATATCCTTGTGGGCTTTTGCAATTACCAAACCTCTTAACAAACTGCTAATAATAAATTTAAAAAAAATATATAATAAAAATAATTAAAAACATTTTTTTAAAGGCCTAAACTAGGATATTATTTTAATCAGAATGATGCGAAGTTTCCCCTTAACCACGAAATTCAGAAAGCAAATGCGTTTCCCTCGACTAGCCAATGTAAAATAGCGAATTAACACAGTCGCTTCTCACTAACGCATCCCTTTGCCCATACGTGCGAATTAACACAGTCGCTTCTCACTAACGCATCCCTTTGCCCATACTTAATATATTATATTACATTGAACTTCATTAATTTTAAACACGGAAATTAAAATGCTTATCCAAATTTAGGACACAGGATTTACACATTGACCGTGACACAATCAAAGATAACAATTTCAAAATATGTATACAATTGAAGATGAAATACATTATCGTGTAATCCAGGAAGATTCGAACCTATAACAGGCCACAGAAGGTACAGCCACGAACCAATATCTTCTTCCTGTTACAATCAACAACTCTTAAGCATTTAACTAATGGCAAGTGCTGACATCATAAGTGTCTTAAATGACACGGTTGGCTCAAAAAAAAGGTTTCTTATTTGCATAAATTATTATCCATAAACAATTAAAAAAATTCTTTTTTTCAGTAAAACTGTGCCAAAATGTCTTCGGATAGCCAAGCCAACATGGTAATTATAAATTATCTGATTCTATCTTCACGAGCTAAAAAATAGCCGAGAAACTAAACTGTAGTCAGGGAGCCAGACAAAAAAGGTTGAACCTGACACCAGCTGCTATACTTTTTTCAACCCTACTTTCAGTTTCTATATGTATTGGGCTTCATTAAAAGTGATGTTGCCAATCACAATCTCACACCTTTTTCTTTCACGTGGTCATAGCAAGTTATGAAATTTGTGGAGAATGCAGAGGCACGTTGATATTCCACTCTGGTGCTATTGCTCAAAATTGAATATAATATTTTCAATAACTTTTACCAGAGCCAAGTTACCTAATTAGTATGGTGTTCGGGAAATCACTGTGTGTGCATGCGCCGTTTTAAATGATAGAATTTTGAACGCAATACAATTACACGAAACAAGAAAGCAAGAAACTAGTAGCGCCAAACTGGTTGTCGGTTGTCCTGTTTTGCAATAGATACAATCTGTATGTTTCTAAGTAAAGTTCTTGGTTGAGGATTATTCTGTGAAAAATCTCTTAAATTATTTATTTATTATATAATCTTGGTCCCTTTCTCGTATCTATTATATAACCATGGTTCTTCGCCCATATTTGTTATATAATAATAGCCCTTCGCCCATATTATTGTATTCGAAGCTGTCCGAATTATGAGTAAACTCAGTAAGTTTCTAGCTTTTGTTTCTTAAGAAATATGTCTGTTACTAATAGATAGAGTGCGACTACGAGGGCGTCTATCTTTAAGTGTTTGGGGTCGGGGTCTGATGACGCGCTTGTTATTATCCCATTGTTCCTTCTATACAAAAAAGTCACGTGACTCCCATACACGTACGCTATGACAATCACGAGGCCACAATGTTGCTTGACAAACAAATACTTAATAAAAAAATTAAAACTCGATAAATTCGCAATAATTGCGACCTTCAAGTACTCATAAATATGAGTCGCTATCGTAAATGAATAGGTTCTTTTGTGGTGCCGCCTCGGTCTTGTAAGAGTCCTCGGCGCTATGCAACAGGGAACAAGTTATATAAATGGAAAAAGTAGACATATGAATCAGATGGGAAACGCCTTGCAGAGTCTGGTGTGCAGACAAAAGAGCGCCATCAACGTTGGACAATGGCCGCGC